ATAGAATAGAATAGAATAGAATAGAATAGAATAGAATAGAATAGAATAGAATAGAATAGTTACCCTGCTGCTAGAATTCCATTTATCTCTTCTGCTATCCTGGACAGTCTGTGTTCCTTTTTCTTCTTTATAGTTTCATTTCTGTCTTAAAATTCCTCTCTGCCTTATATATTTCAGCAGAACAATTGTCCCTCCTGACTCATTGCTTTTCCCTCTTCCCACAGGAATGGGCCAGTTTTCTACTATCTTCATTTTTAAAAATAATTATTTTAAAACTTCAACAGCTGAGTTTGATTAGGTGCTATCAACTTGTCGACCCTTAGCAACCACATAGAGAGATTTTCTCTATGATGATCTGTCCCTAACCAGATCCTTCAGTTCTTCCAATGGTGCACTCATTACTACTACTATATAACTGAGTCTATCCACTTTGCAATCATCAATCATTCTATATTTTCTGTCCATGTGGTTTTCATGGTAATAATACAGAAGTTGTTTGCCATTGCCTTCTCTCACACAGTATTAATTGATGCCTTTGCCATTATGACTAAAATGATCATCTGCTTCCAGCATTTTCCTACATGGCTGCTACCCAATATACAGTAGGTGCCTGCTTGATTTAGCTGGGCTGCTGAGATGATCTTCATACCTTGAGTGACCCTGCTGGGAATATGTACTCTTGGCATACACACCCAATGTTCTTCACACATTCCTCCCATGAACACCCCCCTGCCACAATAAGGTAGCACAGCAGGGCTGGCGCGGGGCTGGGGGGGGGGGGGGGGGTGGAGCTGAGTTTAGTCATACTTTAAATTTTTTAAAAATCAGATATGTCAATACTGAAATAATTCAACAACAAACTTTCCCTCCAATTTCATGAATGATGACTGCAAATAGAAAGAGGCAGTTTAATCTGTGATAGGTCCAGCTGTGAATGGGAATGCAAACTTATAATTTCATTTCTCATTTCACGTCTCATTTCTCACCCAATCAAATGTACTACCTTCCCTTTCATGTGGTCCTATCTTTAAAGTATATAACATAGATTAGCAATTATGGACTTGATTACAACAGTGATGGGTGCATCATTGGAAGACCTTAAGGCCAGACTGAGGACAGATAATCCTGGAGAAGATCTATCCTTGTAGTTGCTAAGAGTCAACACCTACTTTATGACATATAATCAATCATGCAGAGGATTTTTTTTTTATTTTCCCACATAAGTGAATATCATTCTCGTAATAACAATTATTTAAATAATTCTGTCTAAACAGTGAGGATTTGTAGGGCAGTGCTCCTTTAGCTTAGCTTCCTTTGGAAGGAGAAAGTATGGAAACCTGCAATGTTTTATAATATTTCAGTTGCATCTTGCACTTGTGTCAGCTCACTGCATGGGCCTCCTGCATGTAAAGTTGGTAGGATGAGGAAAACAATGAGTTGGGCTGCAAAGTAGTATCTAGATAAGAGATGCAACTTGAATAGAATATGAACATGCTTGGGTAAAAAATGTATTTTTGTTCTGCTTGCGTCAACCTCTTAAGCATACATACAACCAAGGAATTAAGATTCACACAAGGTCTCATTACTCAGATTTATATAGCCTGGAAAATGAAATTAGGTTACATCTCTTGGAAATTAAGCAAGTATACTCCAGTCCTCATTTATTAGTGAGTACATTAAGATGGGGGTCTCTGTGAGCTTTCTCATAGTTTACTTCATGGAAGACTGACACCTTGCTTAGGAGAAGGCTGAAGTTCCATATGCTCTTCATCTGCCATGCTTTGAAAACCTTCCCTTTCTTTTTCTGTCTCCAAGAATTCCCATATAGTTTGTAGCCTACCAGCCAAAATGTGTCACAACTGATATTGTCTTTATTAGCATGAAATGCTGCACATGCTTGGATACAACTAACGCTGGTAACTAGGTGTATACCTTCTCTATATTACTAAGCATTGTTCTGCGAAAGCCTTGATTGACTAAAGTAATGATGGTGGAAGTTAATATCTATGTGCCCATCTCTTGACAACCAAGTAATACAGAAAAGCATCACTTGGGATATAAGATGAATGGAAAGGAAAGGAAAGGAAAGGAAAGGAAAGGAAAGGAAAGGAAAGGAAAGGAAAGGAAAGGAAAGGAAAGGAAAGGAAAGGAAAGGAAAGGAAAGGAAAGGAGAAAGATGTAATAGATCTGAATGAAAGTGTGACCATATGGGGTGAAGTTGATGAATATTTGCAAGGAAGTGTAGATGGAGGTTTAATGATGAATGAAAAGGCAAAAATATGTGTCAGAAAGTATGGATGTCATCTAAGATGTTGTTAGTGCATTAAAAAGTAGGAATGGATCGATTGGTGATGTTTGCATATTTCCTTCCAGTGAATGGTGACAATGGGAGATCAAGAGAAAAAATGCACAACATTCGGAATTACTGCAATTCACATTTATTCTAAATTAATGAATTGGTAGAAAGAAGAGAATACAGAAATAATGATTGGGCCATTTAAAGATTTGAAAGAGAAGGTGATTTTTTTTTCATAAGTATCTGTTTAGAAAAACGCTTTTGTTGTTGTTGTTTCACATACAGTACATGGTCTAAGCATAAGTCTATTTGTTCATACACCTGGCAAAGATAGAAATAAACATCTAAAAGCATGTTTGAAATGAAATATTGATATAATTACTGATAGATACATTCTGGTGAGAGGTTCAGGAATGTTTGGAGGAGAAATTGATATTAAAAAAGAAGTGAAAAAAATAGATTGAATGTAGAATCCTATTCAAAAAAAAATATTAAAACATTGATTAATCTCCCAGTGAAATGTGTGAAAAGTGAACATAAGGAACAAAGATGTAGAAGTTGCATGGAACAGAGTGAAAAGAATTATGTTACAAAGTGTCACAGAAGTAGAGTTAAACCAATGGGAAGTTGGAAAAAGGATGCTTAGTGAAATGATGAAGTGAAAGAAGCTGTGGATGAGTAAAAATATGCAAAAGAGAATGAATGCTGCAAAAGTGAGAATAAGAGAGATATTATACCATGTGTGTCAATAGAAAATGAGAGCTAGTTTGTTGTAATGGTTAAAGCATCAGGCTAGAAACTGGGAGATCGTGAGTTCTAGTCCCACTTTAGGCACAAAGCCAGCTGGGTGACCTTGGGCCAGTCAATCTCTCTCAGACATAGGAAGGAGGCAATGGGTTTGTAAAACTACAAAAAAACTAAAAAAACTGAATGCAGCTGCCCCAGTCCCCTCCCAGCTGTATTAACCCTATTAAATATTGGATATAAACATCTACATGTTGCTATAGTGTACAGGGAAAAACAGGTTTCTTGGGGGAAATATATAAACATAGAAACAGAACATCTTGGAACAAAGCTTTCAAGGATGCTCAATTCAAACAGCTGCAAACACCTTGAACAGGATGCATTTAGAGAGAAAAAATAAATCCAGCTATTGCAGAAGTAAATGTCAATCTCTAATATATTCCCTGGCATAAGGTAAGCAAAATCACATTTAGTATCCCATACTGCTTGATGCTATCATGTAACATGAAGAGCTTTCCAATTATTGTTATTGCAGATTTTAACATCTGCATTTCATGGATGGGAATGTAATACATGAAGAACATCAGTTCTACAGTATATGATGGATTAGAGTAGGATAGTAAAACTAAGAACAGAGAACAAACTGATGTATCCTAATCCATAGCATCTAAATTGTACTATCATTAGTATTAGAACCTCATTACTAACAAGATAGTACACCCAAGATTAACCCTAAATACAACTGTTACAAGATTATTGCTTTTTGGCATGGTTAAAAGAATGTATGAAAGATGCCATATTTTTACAGCTGCACTTGATTTTGGTGCTCCTGGAAATCATATCATATTTCATAATCCAAGACAAAATGTAGGAAGATGTAGAGCAACTTTCTCCCAACCTAGTGCTCTCTTAGATGCATTAGGACCACAACTTCCCAAATTCCCCAATAAACTTGTGATAGGATTTCTTTGGGGGCCTGCTCTGAGCATGATTGTATCTAAGCCATAGTCCAAAGTTTCCCTATAATTCATTAGGTAGCCAAATTTAACAGATTTTGAATAAATCATTAATCCTTCCTTTTTCTGTTTTGTATGTACTTTATTTGCAACTTCTGCTTTTTTTTAAAGTTATGTTTTATTTGATTGCCAGCAGATGCAGTCCATGTGCAGCATACAAGAAAACCAAACATTCATCACACATTTCCTCTTGTTGGGATTTGGTGATCTCCAGGATTTGCAGCTGTTCCTCTTCCTAATTTTTCTGATGATCTACATTGTGACCATGATAGGGAACATTCTCATCATTGCACTTGTGGCTTCAGACCACCATCTTCACACCCCAATGTACTTCTTTGTGGGGAATTTGTCCTGCTTAGAGACCTGCTATAGCTCAACCATTCTACCAAGGATGCTAGTCAGCCTTTTCACTGGGGATGGACTTATTTCTGTTAGAGGATGCATTGTGCAATTCTGGTTCTTTGGGTTTCTAGCAGCAACAGAATGTTATCTGCTGGCAGTGATGTCTTACGATCGCTACCTTGCAGTATGCAAGCCCCTTCATTACACATCTCTTATGGACACTCGTCGCTGCATTCAGCTAGTGTTAGTATCGTGGCTCAGTGGTTCCTTTATGGTCACCACAATTACATTAAAAATGTCACAGTTAAACTTCTGTGCTCCAGATGAAATGGACCATTTCTTTTGCGACTTCGTGCCATTGTTACAACACATTTGCTGTGGTTCCCACCTACTCCTTTTGTCCAGCTTTGTAACTACTTCTGTGGCAACCTTGCCTCCATTCTTGCTTACCCTGGCTTCATACATCTCCATCATCACCACCATTCTGAGAATCCCTTCTACTATAGGAAAGAAGAAAGCCTTTTCCACTTGTTCAACTCATCTCACGGTCGTTACGGTATTTTACGGGACATTAATAATTGTGTATATGCACCCCAATACTGTAACTCTCAGTAAAATGACCAAAATCTTCTCCCTCATTTACACAGTCTTTACCCCTCTTTTCAATCCTCTGATATACAGCCTGAGAAATAGGGAGGTAAGCAAATCCCTCAAAAGAGCCATCAGGAAATATGTGATAATTTAAAAACTGACGATGCTTTCTACTTAAAATAAATGAATGTAATCCATAGGTATGTGAAAGAAATCAGGTGCAGCACATCATTCTCAAATGTTTTGTAAAAACAGTGCATATTTGAGAAAGCTATGTACAAAAATGGGTATCAGAGGCAGGTGGATAAAAATAGCATATACTATGGATAGATAGACAGAAAGATGATTGATTGATAATCAAAACAGTAGATTATTTAATTTCTGTCTTTGTTAGCCTTTTTATAACATCAGCCATGATCGTTCAGTAGTTTACAATTGATATAATTACATTAAAACTATATACATTAAGAAGAGTTACATTCTACAAACATTTCTGAGTTCTCATGCTTAAATAACAATAATTCAAAAAAAATGGCAGAATGTCTTTTTATATAGTAATTTTATTAAACACTACAATTAAAAAGATAAAAACTAATACAAACTATTTTTAAATTCTATTTAAAAAATAGAAAATTCAAAAAAGAAAAAATAAGAGTATAATAAAGAAAAGGAAAAGACATATATAAAGAAATGACTTTTCCCTTCATCACAAAAAGTGCAAACAAATTAGGAACATATGAACTTTTCTTAAAATAAAACAAATGATCTCTTCTTCACATATCTCATCTCTATAAACAAATCCTTAAAGCCTCATCATTCAGTTCATGATCAGCAAAAGTCTATTAAGGGTTACCAGAGATAACAACATATCTATTTTAACCTTAATCAAAGAAACCAACTTTATAGTCCTTCCTTTTAACAATCTTGATCTTTAATCCCTTCAAATAATGTCCTAGAACTTGATTTCTTTTCATTTTTTCTTTGTCCCTTCTCACAAAATTCTTCAAAATTGTAACAAGTCTCTTTTGTAATCCAGAATAGGAAAGTTACCCATATCACTATTTTGATTTGTTATTTGTATATCCCTTTTAATTATTAAGGCATCAGTCAATTTCATTTGTATATTCAATGTAGTATTTTTTTTCCTGTATCATTCTTGTAGTCTGTCATTCTAAATCCACTTTCAGATCAATCTCAGTCTTGTCTGGTAAAACATTTTCCTCTTCCATAACATCTTTTAATCACAGTCTAACTATAATGGCAGATACTCTTAAAATTAACTTCTGGGTCCATTGTTCACAAATATCATCTAATGTTAAAGTATTTTGCTCCATTATGTATTAGCAGATCAAATTTAACTGTTCTTCTCCTTTAATTGTAATCTTTAGTTCCTTCTGGTTCCCTCTAGTGGCCAATCTTCAAAATCCCATCCTATCATTTTTTTTTTTAAGTTGAATTCTTAAAAATAGCATTTTCCCATGGGAAGGATTCTTATAGTTAATTTCAAAATCTTATTTCAAGTCCATCTGGACCCTTAGTCCATTTGTAACTTTCTGAAATCAATGTTCTAATCACTCTTTTGCTGTTTACTCCAAGAGAGAGAGAGAGAGAGAGAATTTTAAGTCCTTAAACTTGTATTTAAAACTTCTTTCATTAAGGATTGAAGGAAACTCACCCAGTGCTCTAAAACTTATTTTTCCAAAGGTTCCTAATAGCTGAAAAGCAGATAACAAGCAATTTCCAAAAGTGATTAGAAAGGAAATATGTGAAATATGCGCTGACCACAGTGTGGACTAAGATGGCATTCCCTCATCTCCAGAGCTCTAAACCCGCAGGAGGCTGCTCTCATGTGGTGTCCTCACAAGGAGCAACTGCATGGAGCAGCTGTGGGTGATCCCAAGTCCTCTCCTTGTCTGGAGAGGAATCACAAAGAGTTGGCCCACTCACCGGTTCTTTATTCCACTGCAGTCATCAGCTCTTCTCTCAGTGTATCTCTCTTCAGTGCACCATTTCTTCCCCAGAAGTCCACTAAAAAATGGCAGAATGTCTAATAAGTGAACACAGGTAATTCAGACCAGTTTTAGACTGATCCACACATCTCCATTCCAGAAATAATCTTGGTACATAGCTGTACCTTAGAAAGGGCTGCAAAATTGCAAGTTACTTTTCCTGCTACTTCTTTGATGTAATGAGGAGTGAAGCAATCACAGTTTCTCCTGCTCATGCTTTGCCTAGGCTTATCCATGTTCTCCTCAGTGTAGTATACCTGAAGACATTATAGCAACTAACAGAACATGGACAAGAAATACCATAGGTTCTTCACCTCTCCCATTGTAGAGGGAAGGAAAAATGGCCTTGAAGGACAGGAGGAAGAGCTGCTACCAAGGCAACTGTCAGATAAAAGAGTCCTGAGTCCTGGTAAAGAAAGTAACTTGAGAAAACATCTCAGACAAGCCCCTGCCTAGTTCACATGGAGATAAAGATGGGGAGGGGAAAGCACATTCAGACTTGCAAGATTCTGTTACTATAGCTATTACAATAAAAGTAGTACTGACTTATATAGCACTGAATTCCTAGTCTGATCTACCTTGTAAGTCTGATACCCAACAAATGGATATTTAATGGCACAGTACAGATGGCCTTGGGGTTATAATCTGGAGTTTCCAGAATAAAATTGGATAGATATAGCTTGTCCTGGCCTTACAGGTTTGTGCACTGTGGAAGGGATATCTTACCAAACTGCTTGTGATGGACCATCATTTGAAAAACATATACCTCAGTTTCTTCTCAATTTATCAGGGAATCTTTTTAAATAATGAAAGCATCCCCATACTTTAAAAACAATTAAACATAGTATTTTGAAACTTGAACAATTGTAGAGAATCAATGTCTGATTAAAAAGACAAGCATGCCTCAAATATTGAAGCTTCAGTGGACCAACATGAGAAGAACTGAATGAGGGGAGCCATCATCAAGATGTTCTATGTTGTACATTAATAAAGCTGGTTTGTATTTTATTATGTGTGTATGAATGCATATATGTAGTCTAAAGAAGATAGAGCCTAAAATTAAACTTCCTTTGATGTTCTTAGCCATTAAGAGAAAAAGAGAGTACATGCAATTTATACTACTACTAAATATCCCTATACAGTAGAGTTAAGCAACCTAAGCCCTCAGCCTAATTTTAAACAAGAATTTTGGTGTCATGATTAAGGACCGGGCTAGAATCCAGGAGATGGTGAGTTCTAGTCTCACTTTAGGGACAAAGCCAGCTGGGTGACCTTGGGCCAGTCATTCTCTCTCAGCCCTAGGAAGGAGGCAGTGGCAAACCACCTCCGAAAAAACCATGCCAAGAAAACTGCAGGGACTTGTCCAGGTAGTTGCCAGGAGACAAAAACTGAAATCACTAAAACAAAAAATCTTTTGTCAAGAGCAGTCTCTCCCTTCTGCTGCATGAAGAGTAAAGCAGAGTGGAAAGGGTCTCAGAAAAAAAAAAAGGAGAGGACCAGAAAAAGAAAGAGGAAAGAAGCTTTCATCCACTTAGCACTCTGGCCCCAAACACTTCTTATTATGGACATGCCTGTCATTGGCCTGGTCTGTTGCTGCCAATAAAGGGCTCTTGCAACAGAGGGAGAGGGGGAGAGAGAGGGAGAGGGAGAAGGAGAGGGAAAGAGATTTTTTAACAGATCTATTCAGAATCTTCTGGATAAAAGACACATTATACCTGAAGAATTTCATATCAAGGAAGGGGAAGGAGAAAAACCAATTACAGGAGGAATAGAAATATAACTGTAGAACAATGACATAATAATTTTAATAAATGCACTGAAGGTCTAATGAACAAGGAAGGATTATTATTGGAAGAAGGTGTGTAATTTTTTCTGATTCCTACATGGTATAACTAAAACTAGCAAGAAGAAAGCTAGACAGAAGTCGCCTCAGAACCAAGAAACAGAATTCTCCGTCTTTCTACAATGTGGTAAAATATGTGAAATCCAGGTAAAATCATTTTAGAAGAAATAAGAAGTCACTTGTATTTTCTTTATTCAATTTATCATTCATGCAATGATAAATATTGTAGCGAGGTAGAGATTTGCCACCACATTGCCCTTGCAAGAGCTCTTTGGAATTCAAATCCCTGCAGACATTCATCAATATAGAGATACCGATTTTTTAAAAACTTTTGGCAAAAACAAACATTTGCTTTGTGGTTTATATTCCACATCCAGACTTTTTTTTTTAATGAAACTATGCAAAGAATACCCAGTGGGATTTGTTTCTCATGCTATGAAACAGCACTGAATATACGAATAAACAATAAATCTTTGGGGAGTATTAGACACTTAATTACAACCTTTGAGTGCAATTTCCTTCACTTGGTGCTTCATGTTTACCACATTATCTATCAACAAAGATAACTAGATGTTCTTAATTATCTTCCTTTATTATCCATGTACTTAACTCCTCAGCTCATGAAGAGGAAAGATTGCACATTCTTTACCTTTGAACCAACAACTTGTCTCCACTTCTGCTATCCTCACCTGCATGCAGCAGGAAGAAGAGTATGATTTTAGGTTACACATGTAGAAATCAAGTAGCTGTCAAGCAGCCATGAATTTTGTGTATGGGTGTATGGAGGCAAAACAAAGAATCAATGTCCACTTAAATTGGCAGGAATGATGGAGGCAGGGCAAACATGCTAAATGAGAGGTGAGGAACTATGGGGCAATTCCAAAGGAGTAGCAAAGACTGTGATAGGATAGTAAGATTTTGCTAAAAGACAGTGGGTGTCCACTACCTTTCACTATCCATCTGAGCCATCCATGGGAGTAGCTATCCACATTCTCCTAAGTGCATTTTCATTTTCCATAGAGCTCCAGTTTACCCAAGTTGATTTCTAAAATTATAGTAGTAGAATATGCACAATTTGATGCAGCTTTCAGTTATCTCAGTTCATGAACGTCTACCCCTGGCTTTCTCATAACTTATCCAAAGATGTTCCACATCTGAAGCGATCTTCAAGTACAAGATGATGAAGAGCAAATGAAGTCAAGCCAAGCTAGCACTTACGTAAACAGCTCTTAATTAATTGTTCCCCGTGTATTTAATAATTCCCTTGTCCTACTGCATTAAAAATTTGGGTTAGAGGCAATT